AGATAACTGGGATCTTCTAAAAATTAAACACTTATGCCCATCAAAAGACTTCACCAAAAGAGTAAAAAGAACCTACAGACTGGGAAAAATTTTTGGCTATGACAAATCCATCTAAGATCTAATCTCTAAAAGCCACAGGAAAATCCAACACCTCTACAACAAAAAGATAAATAATCCAATTAAAAAAGAGGCAAAGGATATGAACAGACACTTCACCAAAGAAGACATTCAGGCAGCTAACAGACACATGAGGAAATGCTCGCAATCACTACCATTAAAGAAATGCAAATAAAATCTACAATGAGATACCATCTCACCCTGACGTTACTGGCACTAATCAAAAAACACAGAAAATAACAAATGTTGGAGAGGCTGTGGAGAGCTTGGAACGCTTATGCTCTGCTGGTGGGAATGCAAAATGGTACTACCATTTTGGAAGATGATATGATGCTTCCTTAAAAATCTAGAAATAGAAATACTATGCGATCCAGCAATCCCACTCCTAGGAATATATCCTAGAGAAATAAGGGCCGTCACATGAATAGACATATGCACACCCATGTTCATTGCAGCATTATTCACAGTACCAAAAAGATAGAAACAACGTAAGTGCCCATCAGCAGATGAATGGATAAACAATCTATGGTATATACACACAGGGGAATAGTATGCAATGATAAAGAGCAATGATGAATCTCTGAAATATCTCCCAACATGGATGAATCTGGAGGGCATTATGCTAGGTGAAATAAGTCAATCACAAAAGGACAAATATTGTATGAGACCACTATTATAAAAATTCATGAAAGGTTTACACACAAAAATAAACAATCTTTGATGACTACGAGGGAGGGGAAGGGTGGGGAAACAAAAACACTAAATAGACAATAGATACATGGTAACTTTTGGTAAGACAGTACACGATACTGGGGAAGCCAGCACAACTTGACGGAGGCAAGGTCATGGAAGCTCCATTAGACACATCCAAACTCCCAGAGGGACTGAATTACTAGGCTGAGGGCTGGGGGACCATAGTTTCAGGGGACATCTAGTTCAATTGGCATAACATAGTTTATATAGAAAATATTCTACATCCTACTTTGGTGATTAGCGTCTGGTGTCTTAAAAGCTTGTGAGTAGCCATCTAATATACTCCACTGGTCTCACCCCATCTGGAATAAGGGAGAATGAAGAAAACCAAAGATACAAGGGAAAGAGTACTCCAAAGGACTAATGGACCACAACTACCACAGCCTCCACCACTGAGTCCAGTACAACTTGTTGGTGCCCAGTTACCACCAGTGACTTCTCTTGACAGGGATCACAAGAGCTGGAGAAAAATATAGAACAAAATTTTAACTCACAGAAAAAAAAAAGAGCAGATTTATTGATCTGACAGAGACTAGAGAAACCCCAAGAGTATGGCTGGCAGACACCCTTTTAACTCAGTATTGAAGTCACTCGTAGGTTCATCCTTCATCCAAAGATTAGACAGGCCCATAAAACAAAACGAGACTAAATGGGCAAGGATGAGAAGGCAGGAGGGGACAGGAAAGCTGGTAACAGGGAACCCAAGGTCGAGAAGGGGAGAGTGTCGACATGTCATGGGGTTGGCAACCAATGTTACAAAACAATATGTGTATTAATTGTTTAATTAGAAACTAATTTGCTCTGTAAACCTTCATCTAAAGCACAATTTAAAAAAACTCAAAATTATTTTAAAGTTCTTCTTTTCAGTTTGCTGGGGAAAATATGACTATCGAAAGGAACTCATTCTTCTAGGCTATGAAGTACCTTAGATTTCACTGTCATTATCGTTTACAATGTTTGCTTAATAAAATAAAGATAACTATATTTTCCATTGTCTCCTGACTGACAAATTTTCTTCTTTGAGACAGTATCCCTTTGGAGGCTTAAATATTGGTCGATGTCATAGCTGGCTGTAGGATGACCTAGATGTGTATTAATATTTCACTAGGACAGATTAATAGAAAATATTTACTTTGCTCTGTTTTTTGTATAACTCTTATTGAGTCACTGTTCTTTGGTGAATCACTGTGAAGTGCTCAGGTAAATGAAATTGTGCAGTTATTGGAATATAAATCTACAAACAGTTATAGTAGGTATAATTTCTCATTCTCTCATATAATATATATGGAATCTTGCCCGTGGTGAATAAAAATTTTTACTAGATATGTATGAACGACTGCAGATTTAGTTTTTACCAAAAAACAAATTATGAACATGGAATGAGGAAGTAACAAAGGACCTTAGAAAGATAAACTCTAAAACATGGAAATGTTGGTGCTTAATCATAAAACCTGTTAGTGTTGCTCAGGGGTCAGCAGACTACATCCCCTGAACCAAATCTGGCTGCTGCCTGTTTTTATATGGCCCACGAACTAAGAATGGCTTCTACAGATGGACATTTACCGTCTATTTGATGATTGTTGTTTTTGTTATTAGCTGCTGTCAAGTCGGCCCTTGATTCATGGTTACCCCATAGATAATGGAATGAAACAGTAACCAGTCCTGCACCATCCCCATGGTTGGTTTCAGATCAGACCGTAGTGATCCATAGGGTTTTCATGAACTGATTTTTGGAAGTAGACTGCCAGGCCTTTCTTCCTAGTTCATCCTAGTCTGGAAGTTCCGCTAAAACCTGTTCAGCATCATAGGAGCACTCAAGCCTCCACTGACAGATGGGTGGGGTGGTGACTGTGCATGAGGTGTATTGGCTGGGAATCGAACTCAGGTCTCCCACATGGAAGGCAAAAATTCTACCATCAAACCACCAATGCTTCATCTATTTGATGATTGGTAGCACTGACTTTTAAACCCAATTAAGCAAATTATCCCCCAAAATGAATTTTATACTTTTCATTAGTAGACCTGTATTAAAAAAAAATTGTGTTCAATTATTATTATATTCTTGGTTTTTGTCAATAAAATTTTATGGAACTTTGTCTTCTGTCTTATGTAAATACCTACACAATATCCTTAATTTTGCCTCTTGACCTACAAAGCCTAAAATATTTCATATCTGACCCTTTACAGAAAAATTTGCTGTCCCTGATGTAGATCATGTTATATAGGCAGTCTCTGGATTATGAATGAGTCCCGTTCCTAAGTCTGTCTTTAAGTCGAATTTGTACGTAAGTCGGAACAGTTATGTACGGCTCGTATCTAACATCTGTTAGTCAAATGTTTGTCTTAGTATATAGTATATAGTGTACCTTTCTATGCATAAAAAACATTAAAGAAACACTTCCAGATGCACTAAAACATCTTTAACATAATAATACAGTAATAATAATAATGTTTTGATGTGTGTCACAAAGTAGCACCCATTTGTAGGTATCTGGAATTTTTAATATGATAGACTTTATGGGGTTTGTACATAAGTTGGACGTTTGTAACCCAGGGACTACCTGTATGGTAACTTTTCTGCTAGGCTTCCTCCTTTGCTAAGGAAATGGTGAACTCTTTTGTGGTTTGTGGTGTGTTTGCATTTGACATATTCATACTTAGCCTTATTCTTAAGTTTATAAAGACTTCATAAGTGCTTGGGTAGTATTTGGATCACAGAGTTAGAGAATTTATGTTATTTTTTCTTATTTATATTTCATTTTACTTTATGTTACTAACTTTATGTTATTTAAGTAATAAAAAGAGCACTATTCTAAAATGTGCTGTGCAAAGTAGTACAGTGTTTTTCTCATTGCATTTGGGAATTTTGCAAAAGGACGCTCAAATATGAGAAAATCATACTTCTTTAAGGTTCTTCTTTCTGAGTAAACAACTTGGCTCCTTAAGCATAAATGGATCCAGTTTATTAGCCCTGAGTGGCAGCGGTGGATTTTAAGCAGCCATTGTCATTTATCCTTATAACCAGGAGATCTTCCTCTTTGGTCTCTGCAGGCCTCAGGGGAGCGATGGCATTTGCGTTAGCCATCCGAGATACAGCCTCCTACGCTCGCCAAATGATGTTCACAACCACCCTCCTCATCGTCTTCTTCACGGTCTGGATCATTGGTGGAGGCACGACACCCATGTTGTCATGGCTTAATATAAGGTTGGTTTGAAGCCAAGGCCAGTTTTATGTCTAAATATGTCAGTTGCTACTGTTCTTGGGAATGTTCAATATGCCCAAGCAGGGTGTGCTACAGCTTATTTTGTTTTGTTTTGGAGATTTAAAAAAATAATGATAAGTCAAAGTTCAGAGTATTAACTTTTCTAGGAGAAAAAAAAACGTCATTAAAATTTTTGTTGGTACAAAAATAAAAGGAATTAGAAATTCCCAGAACTTGCTAGAATAGCGATATTAGGGCATGAATTAAAAAAAACATTAAAGGTGTAGGAGAGAGACTAGAGCTAGCCCTTGACAATGTCCAATATTTCATGTTCCTTTGAAATGAAACTTAAGGTCTTAAAAATACCTAAGCTTATCAGTCAGAAATAAAAAGGAAATTAAGAGTTTTATGTTGGCATGAAACTGTATGCTGTGTCTCTTTTTGTTTGAATGCACAAAAAGTGGCATTTCCTGCATAACCCTCACCTGCTGCAGTCTCATGGATGTTCCCCGCCTGTGGTTTTGCAGCTGTGTCAGAGTGGAGGGGCAAGATGAATCTACATGTCATTCAAGGACACTGACCTGAGTTTGATTTTTTAACAGCATTTGAATTCCACAGCTGTGCCAGTGAGCTCCAGCACCTTATGGTAAACCGGACATTAGAACAGGATTGAAGAGGCCCACAGCCTAATTCTGGTTCTGGTTTCAGACAAGCCCCTCATGTCTTTGGCCTCAGTTCTCCTCAACTTTAAATGTAGGCACTTGGCTAGATTATGTCATGGTCCTTTCCAGCTCTAAAGTAGCATGTATGCTTTGTATCAATGGAGGTACCCCAGCCACCTGTCGCAGTTTCTGGTCTGCAAAGTGTGAGCATGACTGGGAAAAAGAAGACAGTTTGGTAGTGCAAAGCTGTGGAGAATAACGCTCTGAAGAGCCACAGGGTGGCAGCATTGGGTGGTTTGGGTTATTTTTAGGGTGGTTTGTTTTCCTTTCTTTGCTGGCTTTTAGTATGTATTCCCTTCTCCAGATTGTAGAAAGCACGGGATAGCCAGCTGCAGAGCATACCCAGCGTGGAGGAGAGAAAACGAACAAGGATCTCCCAGTCAGCCTTGGAGTCAGGGAGCAAACTAGAATTTGAGAAAAAAGTCATCTCCGTCTGGGACTTTTATGTTAATGGTGGGGAGATATTCCTGGGCTTGACCACTGCCAGCTGCACCATTTCTGGGCTTGTGTGTCAGCCTTAGTTCCAGGTGGGGCTGTGGAGCCATGTGTGGCTTCTTGGTGACAGTGATAATAGTAACTAACACTTGTGTTGCAGGTGCCATGCATATATTAAGATAATGCTCATAATATTCCTATAAGGGAGCTACTACTATTATCTCAATTTTAGAGATGGGGAGACTAAGGCACAGAGAAGTAACTTGCCCAAGGTCACAAAACTTCAAGTGGACAAGCTGGAATTTGAACGCAGGCAGTCCACACTTTCAACTACTGTGCTGTACTACCTGTAAGAAAACTTGCTCTGTTAGGCAACTGTTTTTATATCATAAAATTTGATATGATTAGAATTTCAATTTCCTGGCATGAATCTCAAGGGTTGGATTAAGGAAAATAATCCATCCTTGGGACTATAAACCTGAAAAGAAAAAAATATAATCCCTTGGTTCTAAACACAAGAAATAAGAGGGCACTATCTTTGTTCTGTGTAGCAGAATGAGGGCAAGAAAGTTTATTCTGCCCACAGTTGGGAATCTTTGTACTTGTGATCTCTGAGATTACTTCTTGTTCCTGTTTGTCTGATCACCTAGTAGGCACCCTGTATGTTCAGAGCCTGATTAAATCATGTTTGTTTTTCATGCTATTTATAAGTCATTTTCTCCCCACCCTCCCCCAGCATATACAAGACCAAACAATTTTTCACTGAGAATAGAGAGTTGACTTATGAGATATTTCACTTTTCTTAATCCTTTTCAAAAAGTGGGCCATTAGAACAATCATTCCTACCCAGAGCTGAGAGTGGGCAGTGTTCCCGGAGAAACACACAAACTGTAGGTCAAGGCAAGGCTGCCTGAACCAGGCTAGGCCTGTTAGGAAGGAGAAAGCAGGCAACCAACAATATCCACTATAAGGGTCATTCCTGACACCTCGTTACGTGCCAGGTGCTGTTCTAAATGCTTTCTATATATTAGTATTTTTCACAATAATCCAATTATATATTCATATATGTATACTGTTATTCTGTTGTTATTACTGTTCTATGGATGAGGAAATCAAGCTACTAAGTAGCTGACCCATGGTCTCATAGTTAATGGCAGGGTGGACGTTTTTGTCCAACTATGAAACCCATGCTCGTATCTACTCTACTACTATACCTTGGAACAGCAGCATATTCAGATTTTGTGGGGCCTGGAGCTTTTATGGAGTCCCTGGCTGGTGCAAATGGTTAACTCGCTTGGCTGCTAACCAAAAGGTTGGAAGTTCAAGTCTACCCAGAGGAGCATTGGAAGAAAGGGCTGGCTATCTACTTCCAAAAAATCAGCTGTTGAAAACCCTATGGAGCACAGTTCTACTCTGACACACTTGGGGTCACTATGAGTCATAGGTGATTTGACGGCAACTGGTACAATTTGAGGAGCCTCATTAAGTAAAAGAATCCAAAATTATAAATTTAAAATCAGATATAAAAATGAATATTTATTCAGAATGAGAAATAAATTACAGTGTATTTCAAAGATTTAAAAGCTCATAATTGTCACAAATCTCACAAGTCCAGAAAAATCATATGACTTTTATTAATTGTCTGACACTTCTCTATAATACCTTTTACTACATTTTTATCTGCCTACTTTTTGATCCCCTGTTTATATTACAATTTTGTAGTGTTCTCTATAGAGAGGATAGGAATATATCAGCCTTTTCTGTAGCATAGGTGATCAAAATTTATTGATATTTTAGAAAAGTTTCTTTCAACTTCACTGCTCTATTGGTAATGTCATGTAAATTCTTGGAATTATCATCAAATTTGGGAAAATCCCTATCAAGTTTCTTTCATACGTAAACCATAAGATTTCAGGGCATTCAACTTTTCTTACGCAGTATGTATATTTTTTAACTTTATGTTTAATAATTATAGAATAATTATAGAGTCACAGGAAGTTGCAGTTTTCCCCAACAATTATATCTTACTTGATTCTAATAACAATATCAAAACAAGAAAACTGGCATTGGTACAGTGTGTATACATAATTCAGTGTCATTTTATCTTGTGTAGGTTCACGTAACTACCACCACAATCAAGACACAGAACTAGTCCATTACCACAAAGATCTCCCTTGAGCTACCCTTTATAGTTACAACTACCCACCCCCACCTCCTACCATCCCTAACCCTTGGCAACTACTAATTTGTTCTCCATTCCTATAATTTTATCATTTTGAGAATGCAAGATAAATGGAATTATATAATACGTAACCTTTGAGATTGGCTTTTTTTTCACTCAGCGTAATGCCCTGGAGATCCATCAAGGTTGTTGCAAGTATCAGTACTTTGTTCCTTTTTATTGCTGAGTAGCATTCCATGATATGGATGTACCAGTTTGTTAACTATTCACCCATCAAAGAGCATTTGAATAGTTTCCAGTTTGGGGCTATTAGGAATAAAACTGCTATTAATATTCATGTACAGGTTTTTGTGTGGACATAAATTTTCATTTCTCTGAGATAAATGCACAGGCGTGCAATTGCTGGGTCGTATGGTAAGCGTGGATCAAAAAGTAGGCAGATACAAAAAACCCAATTAAAAAATGGGCAAAGGGTTTGAATAGACATTTCTCCAAAGAAGATATACAAATGGCCAGTAAGCACATGAAAAGACGTGTAACATCACTGGTCATTAGAGAAATGCAAGTCAAAACCACAGAGAGATACTACAGCACACCTATTAGGATGACTATTATCAGAAAAATGGCAAATGACAATTGTTTGTGAGAATATGGAGAAATTGAAACCGTCATCCATTGCTGGTGGGAACGTAAAATGGTGCAGCCTCTGTGGAAAACAGTTTGGCGGTTCCTCAAAAAGTTAAACATGGAGTTACCATATTGCCCAGCAGTTCCACACCCAAAAGAATTGAAAGCAGGGACTCAAACAGATACTTGTACGTCAGTGTTCATAGCAGAATGAGCCACAATAGCCAAAAGGTGGAGACAACCCAAGTGACCATCAGCATATGAATGGATAAACAAAATGTGTGATGTATACATACAATGGAATATTATTCAGCCATAAAGAGAAATGAAGTTCTGATACATGCCACAACATGGATGAAGCTTGAAAACATTATGCTATGTTAAATAAGTCAAAAAAGGACAAATATTGTGTGATCTCACTTATATGAAATATCTAGAATATGCAAAAGCATAGAGATAAGAATTTATTGGTGGTTGCCAGGGGCCTAGGGGAAGGAAAAATGGGGAGTTATTGTTTAAGGGGTACTGAGTTTCTGTTTGGGGTGATAAAAAACTTTTGGAAATAGATAGTGGTGATGGCTGCACAACAGGTGAATGTAACAACTGTCAATGAATTGTACACTTGAGAGTGCTTAAAATGGCAATTTTTTGTTGTATATATTTTGCCATAATAAAATTTAAAAAAAAAATGATTTGGAGCTTTAGGGTCATGGTTTCATGGGACATCCCAGTTAACTGGCCTAATAATGTGTTCGGTGCTTCTGTTCTACCTCCTAGTTCATTGAAGTGCCTGGGGTCTTAAAAGCTTAATAGACAATAATTGGTCTATTCACCTGGAGCAACAGAGGAAGAAGGAGACTTAGGAATAGGAGGAGGAAATGGAATGTGTGGCTAATTGCCTCCATGAACAACTGACGCCTGTGCCATCAGACCAGAACTGGATGGTGCCTGGCTACCATTATTGAACATATTGATCAAAGATTTTATACAAGAATCCTGATCAAAAACGGAAAATGCAGAACAGAATTTCTAATTC